AATGAAACATTTGAAGAAGTTCACGTAGCTTATAACTTTCTTATCCCGTAAGTGACACTTGAGTGTTGGAGAAAACTCAGATGATGGTAATAAGAAAAAGAAAATAATGATCACCCTTAATGGGTACCCAGAGGTAACCATTGCATTACACTCTGGGTTTTTTTTATGCATATATGTATTTGTCTATGAAAATACAGATGATCATAAATAATATATATTAATATATAATATATTAGATATATAAAACAAAAAATAGACTATAATGCAATACACACGACATAATGTGTGTGTGTATATATATATACATATAATGTCTTACAACTCTTTTTCGGCGAACATGCTATTTTATAAACTGTTTTATTTAATAACATTATTTTATTTTAATAATTAGGCTCACATACCCAAATAGTGTAGTTAGGCCATTTCTCTTGGCTGCAGATTCTGTTCCCAGCCAGGTGTTCAGCAGGCAATGCCCCGGGACAGGTGTACTAGTTGTTTATAACCAGGGTCTGTTCTGTTCTTTTGAGGTTGAGGCAGATTCTGATCGCACAGTGCCCATGCCATACTGATTGCTAATATTTGACTATTACCCCTGAAGGTCACAGGCAATCTCCAGCTTCTAGAGAATACCACTGTGTGGTTAGAATTAGGCTAGGGGCAGCCTAGCAAAAACCTGCCATGTGCTGGATGTCCATGGGAGATGCGGATGTGTAGATCCCCCTGCCCCACGAAGAGCTTACAGAGCATTTAGGTAGTCACGCCGTGCATGTAAGCAAAGATGACTAACAGTGCTGCTACTCAATATTGGTTAGGTTCGTTACCAGATGAATGGTGTGGTCTGCAGAGATATTAGAGTTCGGAAGCCTGCACTAGTTAGAGAAGGCTTCACAGAGGAGATAATATGTGAGATAAGAGGAGAAGGGGGATGCGATTCAAATGAAGGGAATAAGCAAAACATATAGTACATTTGGGAAACTGCAAGAAGCTTAGTTTTGCTTTTAGAGTCATCCTATGTCCTTCCCTTGCTCTGTGAGGGTTTTGACCCTGGCCAAATATATTTTCTGGGCTTCCTTGCCAAACGGCTTCTGGTTGGATTTGACCAATAGGAGATGCCAATCAGACGTTGGTGGACAGGAGAAGGGGAGAAGCCATGGTCTCCCCGCCTCTTCCTCTCGACTTTCATTTGGGTTTCTGGCAGTTGGCAGTGTTTCCCCTGTGGCTCTAGATCTTATTGGGAAGCTCCAGGGTCTCAACTTCTATTGAGCGGCTCTTCCTCCAAGGTTCCAGCTCCTCTCTGGTGTTCCTGGCTCCTGGTTCCCAGGCCCTGGTAATATTACCTCCTGCCTTGTCCCTCAGCCGTAAGGGCGGTAGCAGCTTCTTGCAGTTAGTAAGGTCTAGGTTGCTTCATCTTTCCCCCATTGCTCTTCCTGTTCTTCTCACACGGTTGTAGCTTGTTTCCTGTATTAAATTACGTCTATGGAGCTAGCTGGTGTGGGTTCTCTTTCCCTGGCTGGATCCCAACTGATGCAGTCTAGAACAGGAAGTGGAAACGATGAGGCTGGAAAGATGGTTAGGGCCAGATTGGTGAATGACTCTGTTTCTTGCCCAGGTAGGTGAGCTTGCTATACCATAAGAAGCTCCAAAAAGGTAGAGAAAAATATATTCAGTTGCTGAAAGGTCAGTGTTTGTGTCCCATAGATTTCATTTCATGGCCCAGATGTCATTTGTAGCAAAAGTGTGGAAGTGACCTGAACTTCTCTTCTTCCTCACTTCACGCACTAATAGACATCTAGAAGAGAGGAGGAAAAGAATGACAATGGAGTGGAATTCAGCTTCTTGGTGATGAATCCAGTAATGGAGATACAGTCATACTCCAAGCAATGGGAACACTGGCACCTCGGTCTGCCTTGGGAGATATAGAAGCCTTTTAGGAGGTGGTGATATGTGAAACTAAGTCCTAAAAGTAGGCGTGTTAGTTTCCTATTGCTTCTGTAACTAATTACTACAAACACAGTGCCTCAAAACAACACAAATTTATTATCTTCCACTTACGGAGGTCAGAAGGCCGATACATGTCTCACTGGGCTAAAATCGGCGTGTTGACCTGGCTGTGTTCCTTTTGGAGCCTCTAGGAGATGATCATTCCCTGGCCTTTCCCAGCTTCTAGAGCTGCCTGCATTCCTTGGCCCATGGGCCTCTTCTTCCATCCCTCGTCTCCCTTATAATGACCCATGTGGTTCCATTGGGCTCTATTAGAGGATCCAGGAGAATCTACCCATCCCAAGATGGAGATCACATCTAAAGAGTCCCTTTTGCTAGGTAAGGTAACATTCACAGGTTCTGGGGATTAGGATATCTTTGTCGAGGTGGCATTATTTTGCCTGCCACAGTAGGACAGAGGTTCATTAGGTAAAGGAAGAAGGGAAAGTGTGTTCTCAGAAGGAGCAGAATGTGCTGGACAGAGGCAAAGGATGTTGAAGCACATTCTAGCCCATCAGCAGACAATTATTATCACTGACATTTCTCCAGCAAAAAAGCATGTTTACTATGACCTCAGGAGCATGCACAGTACCTCACATCCCTACACTACAAGCAGAAATAAGATGTTTAAGCCAAGATACAGGCTATCCTAAAGCTCAGCTGAATATCACCCCTTGGCAAAGTAGACAGGACATTGGACTTGGAGTCTAATGGTCCCCATGAGCCTATTTCGGCTTTGTCAGCTGTCTTAGTCCTTCAGGGCTGCTCTAACAAAAATGTCATAGACTGGGTAGTTTATAATCAAGAGAAATTCATTTTTCACAGTTCTGGAGGCTGGGAAGTCCAAGATCAAGGTGTTGGCAGGTTCAGTGTCTGGTGAGGGCCTGCTTCCTGGTCCATAGACTGATGTCTTCTCACTGTGTCCTCACCTGGAGGGAGGGTCACTCTCATAAGGACACTAATCCTATTCATGAGGGCTCCACCCTCAGGACCTAATCACCTCCCAAAGGCCCCACATCCAAAGACCATCACAGTGGGTGTTATGTTTCAGTATATGAATTTGGGGGGACACAGATGTTCAGACCATAGCACCACCAAATAGCTATGTAGTTTTGAGAGTGTCACCTTATCCTCTTTTAGCCTTAGTTTCCTTCTCTAAAATGGGGATAGAGGATCCCAACCTCATGGGGCCGTTACTATCATTTAGGGAGATAATTCTTGTGGAAGCTCCCGAGACACTTCCCAGTACACAGCTCCCACTTATTCAAGAAGCCAAGGACAAATTCACCATTTTTAGAGGCTGAAGAGCCTGTGGTCTAGCAGTCAGTGGCCGACGCACCATGGGTGGGACAGAACTAAGGTTGGAAATACAGAACTGGCAAATGATACTGGAAAATTACCTAGAAAAGACAAAGTAACTGGGAGAAGACTGATTCATGGGTATTTCAGAAAAGAACAGATAGGGCAAGTGGGTCAACTGGGACTGTAGTGGGAAGCTGTCTTTTAGGGAGCCTTTATTCAGAGTCTTAAGATATTGTAGAAAAGGGCCAGTGTGAATCCCATAGACGCTGGAGCCTAAATGCTGATGACCATTTGCAACCTTAGGCCATCTTTCAGGTGCCCAGTAAATTTACGGACAGGCTTGAAAGGGTCAGCCATTACTCAAAAACATGATCAAGATAATCCAGTCATTATTCAAATTCACAGTGCTCAAGTATTACAGCAATTCGGTATAAAGGATTCTTAAGAATTATGTTTCCTATCTCCGGTGCCTAATACTGTGTGAAAAGCAGGCAGCAGGCCAGGACTTGGTGGTGAGTGGATGTAATGGAACTAAGCATTTGTCTGTCCCCTGTTTCTCCACTATTAACAGTCACTAGCATTTAATGAGCGCATGTTACATATCAGGTGATCTCCCCAGCAACGTTCTGAGGAAGGCAGTATTAGAATACCCATTTTGTAGGTTAGGAAACTGAGGCTTTGAGAGTTGAAGTGACTTACCTAAATTCACAAAGCTAGTAAGGGACCCAGTTAGAAACTGAACCAAGTTGAACAATGTTCTTAATTGACTAATACACCATAACTAAACCAAAATCTGCCTCTGTCATCGTGGAACTAAATCTTGGTCTTTCCTTGTTTTTTCTCTGTCTGATTCCTGTAGTCTGCTCTTCTCAGGTTAGACTTTCCTTCAGTTGGTTACTCTCTGTTAGTTTCTCTGCTCAGTTCCACCCTGTTTCTCTCCCTAAGCCAACCTATCCTCCAGACAGTGTAGGGATAGTGGAAATGGGATAGGCCTGGAGATTAGCTGCATGACCTTGGACTAGAAACTTCTCTAAGCCCTTGTCTCATCCATAAACTGAAGATAATAGAACATAGTCTCTCTTTTGGAGGATTATATAAAATATGTGCCAGTCTCTAACATTTCGATAATCAATGTAAAAAATCCCTAGCATTTTGTAAACTATTATTTCCTTTCCATTCAAAGACGTCTTCAGGGATTTGTCTCAGGAGCCAGCCTAACCAAGTTGGAATTTAAGCTCTATCACTTGCTCGCTGTGAGACCTAGGGCAAGTTGCTGTGCATCGGCTTCTTAATCTATAAAATTGGAATAATAACAGTGCCGAACACACAGTGTTACTGTGAGATTTAAAGAGCTGTAAAGTCTAATATGGCTTGGCCCATAGAAAGTAGCTGTTGTTTGTCTCCATAGGCATCCAGGGTGTGTTAAATTCTTAAATATCCCTTACTCCCTTATTATTCCTTATGAAATACTGATGCAGTAACAATAATAAGTCCTAAGCAAAATGCAGTCTTCGGATCTTAAATTTCCTCAACTATAAGATAGGAATAACTATAGCACCTCCTTCATAGTAATATTTATGAGGATTACGTGCAGTAAAATATTGAAAGCACTTAGCAGTGCGTGGCATGGTAAATTTTCTATGTGTTGGCTGCCATGATTATTCATTTGGTCAACAAATATTGATTGAGCACTTTCTATATACCTGGTACTGTTGCAGGTACTGGGGCTACAGAGTGGTGAACTTTGCCATCATAGAGATGACGTTCTCGTAGGGAATGGAGATGTAGTGGTGATTGCTATGAAGAAAAATGCAGAAAAGCAGGGTGGTGAGGTAAGTACTCTCTGAGGACCTTGAATGCATATGACATTGGAGTATGTTAACGAGTCAAAGAAAGGACTTGTTTGGCAGATCACAGCATTGGCCGTTTGTGCTGGGTGCTGCATTTGAAGTAGAGAACGGCAGATAATCAGAAAGGCTGAAGGGTGCTGACTAGAATTCTGGCAGCAAGCCCCGCTGACAACTTACCAAAGTCAGCAGTGAGGCAAATAAAGAGAATGTACTTTCTCTGTGGAAGTCTGAGGATGTATTGGACTCTGATTTTTTTTTTTTGCATGTTCTGGACAAACTGGTCCAAATAGTCATGTTTTTTAAACCTCATGAAACTATTTATTACCCTTTATTAGCCTCCAGAACGAGGACTAGATCGCTTCCTAGAGGTTTCATGCGATGTGTGGATCTTTATAGGACCTCATTTATTCTCTGTGTGAAACAGGATGTTGGTACTTTCAAAAAATGTAAGTAATAGCTAGCTAACAAACATCCTTGCGCTGAAACGCTGCCTGGCGAGTGGAAGATTTGAAGATAACTGGTCCCCAAGTCTAGTGGTACTTCTCTATTCCACCCTACCAAAGTAGCCTTACTACTAAATGTATCCTGCCTTGGATTCATGTGGAGGCACTGACTTCTGCCTTCTATTAGAGGGTCTAAATACTTGTAGACTTGCCCATTATGTCAAAGAGATATCGACAAGACCAGAAATAGTAAGACACTCAAAATTTAAACTAGACTTCCCTTTGATAGCGTCTTTGGGATTTTACAGGAGGAAAGTGCTGACAATTAGGGGAGAGTGACAATGAGAATAAATGAATACCTGGATCACATGCAATAGGAACAACTCAATTGGATGACTCTTTCACACCAAGCTCAACTACCATTAGATAATGGACTTTGAGGGCTAAGGTGTCGCTAAAATGCCATCCAACCTACTCATATCTCAGGTGTTTAAAAATTCCCACAGCATTTTGGTAGAACCAGAAAGAAGAGTGACATTGAGTTTGACATTTTAGAAAATTAATTAACAGGGCTGCATTGACATGAAAAGAGCAGTGTGATAAAATTCCACTGGGAGGCGATATTCAGACATACTTGCAGGCAGCTGGGCAATGAAATCTTATCTTGTCAGATAACTGGGCCTCGGTTATTAGGAGGGATTAAGAACTAGGTTTCAAATCTCAGGAGAGGACCTAGAAATAATTCAATTTTTAGTCATAAGGTATGCCATATTTACTGAATGCCTGTCCTGGCCAGATGCTGGATGAGACACTTGGGAAATAACTAGCCTTGTCCTGTAGGAACTCACGCCAGAGGGAGAGACAGATAAGTAATTTAGTACATTAAGTCCCATGACAGAAGAACAGGGCACTGTGGGAACACACAAGAAGGGAGCTAGAGCAAAACTGGTGGAGGTGGGCTTCCCTGGTGGCGCAGTGGTTGAGAGTCCGCCTGCCGATGCAGGGGACGCGGGTTCGTGTCCCGGTCCGGGAAGATCCCACATGCCGCGGAGCGGCTGGGCCCGTGAGCCATGGCCGCTGAGCCTGCGCGTCCGGAGCCCGTGCTCCGCAACGGGAGAGGCCACAACGGGGAGAGGCCCCCGGTGACAAAAAAAAAAAAAAAAAAAAAAAAAAACTGGTGGAGGAATGACTTAAGCTGAGACCTACTGAGCAAGAATTTCATGAAGGAGAGGATAGGTAAGGGAGATCTGAAAGCCTGGAGGAGTTAGGCTAAATATCTAATCGGTTCCCTGGTGATGGATACAAGCTGAGCCATTCTTGGCTAGTGGTTACCTGTATCTGTCCTCGCAGCTTTTGCTGTACCCAGATGTTATGCCAACAATTTCTCTTTCTGTGAGTGATCGAACCACTGTTTGCTTATACTGAAATTTCCCTGCCCATTCTTTTAATTAAAATTAAATCAATCTCTCTCTGATCAGGTATGTATGTGTGTATTTTTTTTTTTCCCTCCTCTTTCCATGATTTTGATAATTGAAGAGATTGGGGATTGTCCTTTAGAGTAAAGCACCTGTTGGATTTACCTGTTTTTCCTTGTGGTGTCATTGAACTTATTCCTCTAATCCTTATAGTTCTGAAAACTGGAATTCAGAACTATACCTTATTGGATTGAGGTTAAACATTTCTCATAGGATTGCTTCACAGATGAGGCTGCGTGTTGCAGATTGCATCACATTGAGACCCATATAATGTGTGGTTGACTCCGTATTAGTGAAAGGATCATTGGGTTAATGTGATGATTGGGTTAAGATGATGACTGCCGGCTTGCTCTATTGAAAAGTTAACCTTTGGCCCCTTTTCAGCTAGCAAGTAATCCATGCGGGTGATCCTTTGGCACTATGTAAATATGGAGTTTCCCATCAATCTATCACCTAACAGAGTTTGTTTTCCTTCAGGGTCCTTGCGCAAACCGATTACTTCAGTGGGGTTTTCATCGCTGCCTATTCTCACATATTTTGAAGAGAGATAGTGGTTTTGCCGAGATCTTTGCTTGGTTCAGAGGCATATGAACTTGCTATATCAGATTATACGTGCATTATACATACATTATACAGTTTTTCCATGTAACTAATCAGCCAACCACATCTCCTCATCACTGTTGATTATACTACATCCAGGGACAATGGGTAAAGGTACATTCATTAAGTAATTTAAAATAAGGTGTGAGTCAATTCTTTGGGGGTATGGTTTTCAATAAGAAGTGTTGTTGGCATGGGGGTAGGAGCAGAAAGTCAAAAGTCAGGAGTTGCCAGTGCTGGAGGATTACTGAGATAAGGAATGTGGCAAGAGAAACAACATTGAAACGTAGGTCAGAACTAGACCAGAGTGAGATTACATGCTGAGTCTGAGAGTGTGGCTGGACCACGGGTCACAAACTCAAGTGCCTACAGAGACTGAGAGGTAAAGGGAGTGAAGCAAGCCAGGTGTAAGGACCAAGAGGCGTGATGAGGCCTATGAAAGGAACGGAGGTCCTCTGTCCTGTCTAAAGAGGGCTTCTACTACTTAGCAACAGCTAATTGTTGGAATGTGCAACATGGATCTAGTGTTGCCAGATCTTTTGATATTGCTGGAGAAGCTGGAAGTCTGAATCATAAAGGGAAACAAAACAATATAAAAACGGGAACAACCAATTTGAAGAGTAAATTAAAAATATGTACAGCGTGGGCTTCCCTGGTGGCACAGTGGTTAAGAATCCGCCTGCCAATGCAGGGGACACGGGTTCGAGCCCTGGTCTGGGAAGATCCCACATGCCATGGAGCAACTAAGCCCCTGCGCCACAACTACTGAGCCCGCGCGCCTAGAGCCCGTGCTCCGCAACAAGAGAAGCCACTGCAATGGGAAGCCCGTGCACCGCAACGAAGAGCAGCCCCTGCCTGCCGCAACTAGAGAAAAGCCCACACGCACAGCAATGAAGACCCAACACAGCCGAAAATAAATAAATTAATTTTAAAAATAATAATTTAAATTATATATATATATATATATATATATGTACAGTGTAACAAATCTGTTCCTGGGCCTCATTTGGCTTATGGGGCATAATTTTGCCAAACTTGGTCTGAAAAGCCTTAAATTTGTATTTACTAAGGTCAGAAATTGTGTGGATAGGTTGAGGGGGTCTACTTTAGGTAGGGACCCAGAGCTCAGGAACTAGATAATGCCTGATAACCAGGGATATTTACCAATCAACCCTGATCCTGCTATGGTGCTTTCATATTTGTCTATACAGTCAGTTTCCTAATTTGATTTAAGTTCTCTGAATGTATGCATCTTGTCTTTTTCCCACAGCTTCTTGCATGTTACCCTTCATATACCAGGTCCTTGAAAGAGGGATGATGGTGATGAGGACGATGACGATGGTTTCTACCGAGTCAAAAAATCAAGGTAAGTTATTCCATGTTCTTTTTATCATGGATAAGCAAGAATGATGAATGAATTTTCTGCATAGCATAAAATGCTGCAGAGTTCATCTGTGAACTGATTTTGCCATTTAATGTTATTTTCAACAAAGCATTCATAAAATTTCATGGCTGCAGCTGTTCCGTATTATTATGTTCTCTCTTGCAAATTTTCTTAACTAGAAGCCATTCCTCATTTTTATGTTGTAATGTTTGAGAAAGTAATGAATGATTAAGGTAATCAGGAATACATGAAGTTGGGGGAAGACACATACATATATATTTTTAGTCATATTTGAAGAGTAGCACTTAAATGATAGTGCACTAACTCTATCATAACATCAGGGAAATTTATATTGTATGCCCGGTCCAGCTCCATTTTCTGGAAAAATAAGTTCTTAAATATGTCACATCTATCACGTGACTTCCGAATCTAAACTAGAAATGGGAATTTTTCTTTGTTCCATTTTCTCCCAAGCATTCTCTGATCTCTCTCTCTCTCTCTCTCTCTCTCTCTCTCTCTCTCTCTCTCTAACCAAATACCAATTTAAGGACAGAAGGGCATAAAAAGGGGAGTCTAAATGTAGGTGCTACAGGCAAATTACGTATTTCACAACTTTGCCTAGGAATGACTGTTTAAGTGAGTAGCTCATTAACCCAAAGGGGTAAATTTTTAATCGTGGCACTTTGGCAGAAAGGGTTTTTTTATTAATAATTCCAGTTACTAAATGTCTTCTGTGTGCCCGGCATTGTAATAGCTGGTTTTAGTACCAAGTATCAGATTGTCTGAAATGTTTACTATACCCTGGCAAGGAAAGTAGCATTAGCCCCACTTACAGATGAGGAAACCAAGGCTCGTAGAGTTGAAGTAACTTGTCCAATGACACGTATCTAGTAGATACTGGAGCTGAGATTAGTACCTGGGTCTGCTGCAAATATTCTTGCCTTATACCATATTGCCTCCCGCTATTGTTAAATAACAGTCCTGAAGGAAACAGGGACCCTATATCCACGTTACATAGTTATGTAGTCCTTAACCTCCAATCAAAATATATATGAATTTTCCCTTGGGAATGGCATGACCTATAACCAGAATGCCCTCAGATCCCAGTAGTCTGAAAAAGGAAAAGCAAAAACCTTGCTTTTCATTGACTTTGGTTGGTTGACCAGATGGTTCTCTATTTGTGCTTTTCATGGGAGAGGGAGATTGAAGGGTAGGAGAATTTAACCAGTGTCCTGGCTCAAGAGGGATCTGGTTCCCCTCCAGCTCACAGGTACCTGTAAAATAAGGTAGTCATAGAAGGACAAATACTGCACGGTTTGACTTATGTGAGGTATCTAAAGTAGTTGAACTCAGAAGCAGAGAGTAGAATGGTAGTTGCCAGGGGCTGGGGGAGGGGGAAACAGGGACTTGCCATTGAACAGGTATAAAATTTCAGTTAAGCAAGATGAATAAGGTCTAGAGATCTTCTGTACAAACATGGTGCCTATAATTAACAGTACTTTATTGAACACATAAAAATTGGTTAAGAGGGTAAATCTCGTGTTAAGTGCTCTTTACCACGATAAAATAAAAATTAAAATATTAGCATTAGGCTGAGTGAAAGATGCCAGGCACAGAAAAGGGCACACTGTACAGTTTCATTTATAAGAAGTTCTAAAACAAGGAAAACTAATTTGGGATGTTAACAGATCAATGGTTGTCTTGTGGGGGAGGGGTGACTGGGTTGGAGCACCCTGGAACTTTTGAGCATGATGGTGGCCATGTTCTCCGTTTTGATAGGGGTGTTAGTTACACAGTTGTATGCATTTGTCAAAGATGATTGAACTTTATATTTAAGATGAATACATTTCACCATCTGTATATTATACCCTGATAAAATATTAAAAACAGTCATTTAGAGGGCAAAACTAATAGCTTAGGGTGAATTAATTTAATCATATAAATCACCTAAGGCTAAAACAACTTTTTATCCCCAGAAAAATCTCTTTTACAGCAGACCTGACAGATGATTTCCAGAGTCATCTTGGGTATTTCAAGAGTTTTGGAAGTCATTATAAGGTGTATGTGTACTATAAAGTTGGTAACTCTCGTGTTTTCAATTTAATTTAAAATACTTGTAAGTCAAATAAAATAGTAACTAACATTTACTGAGTGTTTGCCAAGTTCTAAGGGCATAGATGAGTTTTGTCTGTTTTTGTATCTTTTATGAAATATGCAGTCATATTGGCATAGGAAGATTAAAACTGTCTTTTAGGAAACTCTAAAGAATCTACCAAAAAGTACTAGAACTAATAATTGAGTTTAGTGAGTTCACAGGCTTTAAGCTCAAAACACAAAAATTAATTGTACAAAACTCTTTCATGCTGTTGGAAGAGTAACTGACACTTTTCAAAATATATGCCTTTTATTTCTTTTTATTTTGGCCTATTGCCCTTGCTCGGCCATCAGATACAATGTTGAATAAAGTGTAAGTATGCACAGCCTTATGTTCTGACCTTGGGGGAAAGCTTTCAGTCTTTCACTATTAAGTACTGATGTTAGCTGTGGGATTTTTGTAGATGCCCTTTTCAATGAGAATTTACATCACGAATGGGTGTTGAATTTCTGACAAATACTTTTTCTGCATCTATTGAGATGATCGTGTGGTTTTTCTTCTTTACTTTATTCATATGGTGATTTATATTCATCGATTTACAAACATTGAACCAGCCTTGCAATCTTGAGATAAGACTCACTTGGTCATGACGCATTATCCTTTTAATATAATATATTGCTGGATTCAATTTTCTATGAAATTTATTTGAAGACTTTTTCTATGTTCATGATGGATATTGGTGAATAGATTACTTTTTTGTAATATTTTAGTCTAGTTCTAGTACAAGGGTAACATGGGCCTCATAGAATGAGTTGAAGGTGTTCCTCTATACTCTGGAAGTATTTGTTTAAACTTGGTATTACTTAACATTTTAAATGTTTCATAGCACCTACCAGAGAAGAGATTTGGGCTTGAAGTTTTCTTTGTGTGAAGGTTTTCAATTATGAATTCAATTTCTTTACTAGTTATGATGTTATTCAGATTTTCTATTTAAATGTGTCACTTTTCATAATTGGTATCATTCATGGAATTTGTCCATTTCATCTGATTGTTGAATTTATTGGCATAAAATTATCATTAATATTGCCTAATTACCCTGTTAATATCTCTAAGGTGTTAGTAGTATTCTCTCTTTTCTTCTTACGTTATAATCCTTTTCTTGTTCTTGATTCATTTGAAGTTTGTGTTTAAGTTTTGCTAGTGTGAGTCAAAAGACTATCTCCTATTTTGTGTCTACTTTAGTGCTATTACCAAGGTGTGACCTTCTTGGGTCTCTATTGAATACTCTTGGTGCTCAAAAAGGTCTCTACAATGTAGCTCAGAGCTCAGCAGACTATAAACTGTGGGTCAAATGCAGCTTGTGGATTGTTTTGGAATAGTGTGGGAGCTAAGAATTATATTTCCCTTTTTAAAACACAGTTTAAAAGAAAAAGAAGATTATGTTACAGACATCATATGTGACCCACAAAGCCTAAAATGTTTACTATCTCGTCCTTTAATGAAAGTGTTGGCTGACCCCTGCTAGCTGATGAGAACTAGAATATTTCCTAATCATGCGTGCGCAGGGAATTGTTCAGTTTACATCTCCCCTCCGGTTGATTTTTGCCTGGCCTCACAGAGTGTCACCCTAGGCATGAACAACTTCCTAGCCAGCCAAAGACATCATGGGACCTCTTGGACCCACCTTATTTTTCCTTCTTCTCAAGGATTTCAAATCTACACCGTGTATTGTCCCATGTATGAAAATAGATGTTTCACACTTTTGCCCAGTTTTCTAGAGTTTTTAACAGCAGGAGGATAAGTCCAGTACTGGTCCCTCTGTCATAAGCAGAAGCAAAAGATCTCACCGCACTAAATAAAGTTTTGATCTATTTTATCAATTATTGCTCTATATTTGTAGTGGAAGAGAAGCTCTTCAATTTGGATTGGTTTGCAAAATTGCTAGATAATTTCTAGTTCTGGAAGATGGTTTTTTTTTTGATGGCAACAACAAAAGTTTCTTGAGAATTGTGGTATGTCAGTCTGTTGTATTATTTGATTTTCATAGCAATACTCTGAGGTTCAGAGAAGTCATGTTTTCCAAAGACTCACGGTTTTTGCATAGCAGAACTGGAATTTGAATCTAGCTTTGTTTGACTCCCAAGCCTCAGTTCTTAGGCACTTCTTTTTTTTTTCTCATTGAAGTATAGTTGATTTATAATGTCATGTTAGTTTTAGGTGTACCGCATAGTAATGCACTTATATACATGTATATTCTTTTTCAGATCCTTTTCCCTTATAGGTTATTATAAAATATTGAGTATAGTTCCCTGTGCCTATACAGTAGATCCTTGTTGGTTATCTACCTTATATATGGTAGTGTGTATATGTTAATCCCAGTCTCCCAATTTATCCATCCCTCCCCTTTCCCTTTTGGTGACCATAAGTTTATTTTCTATGTCTGTGGATCTATTTCTGTTTTGTACATAAGTTCTTTTGTATCTTTTTTTTTTAGATTCCACGTATAAGCAATATCATATGATATCTGTCTTTCTCTGTCTGGCTTATTTCACTTAGTGTGATCATCTCCAGGTCCATCCATGTTGCTGCAGATGGCATTATTTCATTCTTTTTTAATGGCTGAGTAGTATTCCATTGTGTGTATATACCACATCTCCTTTATCCATTCATCTGTCGATGGACATTTAGGTTCCTTCCATGTCTTGGCTATTGAAAATAGTGCTGCTATGAGCATTGGGGTGCATGTATCTTTTCAAATTAGAGCTTTCTCTGGATATATGCCCACGAGTGGGATGGCAGGATCATATAGTAACTCTATTTTTAGTTTTCTAAGGAACCTCCATACTGTTCTCCATGGTGGCTGTACCAATTCACATTCCCA